TTTCCTTTCTTTTTCTTTATGCCAACTTATCTCTGCAGTTTGCACTATTGTAACAATCCTTCCCTCCCGGGCAATAAAGGAGAAGGAATGAGACCTGAGAGATTTCCTCTAAAGAGATAATTATCCCTCTCCTCTTCCTTGTGAGCTTTTCATCCACTGTCCCTCTTGTTGCCAGGAAACCAACCAGGGTAAAGACTCTGCGCAACCCTGCTCTCCAGCTGAATGTAGCGGTGGAAAATCGTTATCATCTCGCTGCTTTTCGAGGCTGTTGATAAATAGGAGATAGCGAGGACAGTCATGGGACACATGTGAGGCCTTTTGAAGCTGCACTCTCACTGAAGGTGATTTTGAGGCGTACGGGCAGGGTGTAATAGATGAGGTCGGCGTGTTCGCTCTGAGAGAGACATCACAAACACGAGAGGGGGGTCTTTGCTGTAAGTCATCCACATCTAAGTCCTTATGTGGGATAACCGTGTGCCTGGTTGGGAAGTGTGTAGTTAGACCGAGAGCACCTACAAGATAAAGACCATAACCAGAACATATCAAATGTTCTTTACTTGTGGCCATTCTTATCTCATCTATATTGCTGCACTCGTCTTAATTACATTGGTTTAACCTGTGAAACGTGAACACATAAGATAAGGAGCACCAGTCTTCCAAAAAACACAACACTCCTCATTTGATGTTTTCATGACGAGTGCTGTCCAACCTTGGATGACCAGCCATGAAAGACCACAGTATGAAATATACATCATTTTCATACTTATCAAACTGGTCATCCTGAAATGAAAGAACACTTCCATCATTACAGGATAACAGGGACCATTCAGAACAACTTTACATTGACTTGTAGTGGCCATTCTCTCTACAGGGACAGGTGACCTGAACCGTGCCGGTAACATGCTCCCAGGAGCATAACACTGTAATGAGACAGCAGGAAGAGCAGTTGTTGTCTTTAAAGTAGCCAATATGGAGACAGATAAACAGATAAAGGAAACCTGTTTCCCACAAGCTTACATTTAGTGGCTCCAGCTATTCAGGGGAACGCAAATGACATCAACCCAACCTGAAAAATACGGAGGAAGAAGAGTCCCAATGCACAGAGAGTTTAGGGTATTCAATAGATGTGTTGCTCTGTAGACTGTGTTGCATCTCTTCCACTGCAGACGGTCAAAAGATTAAAAAAATAAATGCTTAACACGCCCACATGAACTATGCATGCAGGAAGTGATCTGTGTGCATTCTCTTGTTAATGTTATTGTGTGGAGGAGACACAGTTTGTTCTCGGTGTAACTGGATATATTAGATAAGTGCTTTAGTTATCTTGATAGAAGTCACGTGTGTAACTGCTGTCATATCTATTGGACAGTTAGTTGTCCACTAGACGGCGGTATACACATCAGACAGTTATTTCAATATAGCGCTATATAATATATATATTAATATATATGATGATAATATAAGCAATTCAAATGTATCTTATATTTCTTCATTAAACTTTTATTCCGCGTTCACGGTAAAATGTGCAGAAACGCATTTCTTATCGTGCACTCGCAATAAAGGTCGTCCGGGAAAAAATAAAAATACATTTAAAAATAGAATTTAAAAGTTTTCATTGTAATTTTGTGTTAAAACGTTAAAACGCGGTTTTATATTGCGCACGGAGGTCAAAGTTCACTAGTTCGCCTCTCAAAATGGCGGCTGAGCCCACACGGGAATGGAGCGATGAGCAGCTCAAAAGTGATGATTTGCCCAAAAAAGACATAATAAAGTTCCTGCAGGACAATGCGACCCACTCGGTATGTTTCTCCCTTTAGTCTCCTCGGGATTCCGGTTGGGATATCTGCAGGTTACCGGTTTGAATTCTCACTGTGAAGTGCAGCATGCAGCATGGCTAGCTCCGATGGGATGCTTTGCTTCAGCTCAGCACAGCAGAGCACAATGTTCAGCACTATCTGCACATTAATACGAATGCAAACAGCTTCTCTTAGGGTTTGACCTGCGCAGCTCCTCGTGGCTTGAGCGCGAACGAGTTCAACTTTCTCCTTCTGTTCGTTTGTTGTTATTTCAGTTCCTCAACGAGCACAAGCTGCTCGGAAACATCAAAAATGTTGCCAAAACTGCAAAGAAAGAGCAACTGATTATCGCCTACGATCAGCTCTTCGAGAGCAAAGTAAGTCACGATTGTCATCATCCGCCTCGATGATGAACCTTGATAATGAACATAAAATGTGTAAACGTGTGATTTGCAGAGGTTTAAAGGCACAGAAGCAGTGGAAGAAGTGACGGAGAAGGTTAAAGCTGTGAAAGTCGAAGAAAAACCCAAAGAAGTCAAGACAGAAGTTGTGGATGAGGTACTGAAGCACACCATCAAATATCAACTTTTTTTTATATCATCATTTATATAAAAAGGAGACTTATAATATGCTGTAATTTCTTTTGTCCATTCGCATATCCCACATAGGGATAAGTGTATTATAACCACGTGCATGATACTGATGCTCAATGTTGGTTTTGGTTCTGTAGATTATGGTTACTGGAGTGAAAATAGAATTCAGGTGTACTCATGAAGACTCAAAAATGCTGTAAAAATAATGTGAATTGGAAAATATTTTTTCATTGAATGCTAAAGTACAAAAAGCCGATTCTGGTGAGCACTCAGCGATTATTCACATTTATTGACTACTGCTTCATTACTTCTCTCAGGGTCCTCCAAAGTACACCAAATCAGTGCTGAAAAAAGGCGACAAGACAAACTTCCCAAAGAAGGGCGACACTGTGAGCTGCTGGTACACCGGAACCTTAGAGGATGGGACTGTCTTTGACACCAATGTTCCCACAGGTATGACCGCGTCGCACTCGTAAGGTGATGCTCTGTCGCTAGTCGTGCTTTTTTTTTTTACATTATTGAAAATGTTAAACTAAGTAATTTGTACTTCTTAGTTATGAAGATCAAATCTCTATGTAGCGATGAAGAATCTGTCCTTGTTCTCTTCGATCTGCAGGGGCGAGAAAGAAGAAACAGGCCAAACCACTCAGCTTCAAAGTTGGCTTGGGCAAAGTCATCAGAGGAGTAAGTTGCTCTGCTGTTGTCATTTAGTTTTCTTAACTTTTCTTTCTATGTCTAATGTCTGTAATCATCACAGTGGGATGAGGCCCTACTGACAATGAGCAAGGGTGAAACTGCTCGATTGGAGATTGACCCTGAATGGGCTTATGGAAAGAAGGGCGTCCCTGAGTCCAAGTATCCTTTTTTTCCTCCCCCTCTTTGGTATTTTGTACCTTGCGTGCATGTTTCATAAATATCTAAATATTTCTAAAGGGATGTGATGAAACTACACCAGCTGTCTGCACGTATGGTCAGAGCTCAGCTTGTAATGTGGCTTGATTCTTGCTTATAACTGTCCTCCTCCTTTATTGTTTTACGCTAACATAATTAAATGAAAGCCAATTTTCCTTAACTCCACCTCTCCCAGAATTCCACCCAACGCAAAGCTGATTTTCGAGGTGGAGCTGGTGTCTGTGGATTAGCCCAAAGCATGCACTACATTTCAAGAATTCACACCTAATTAATGGCCTTGAGGTAGAGGGGGATATCAGCATGCGTCTTGGATTGCAATATTCCTGGGATGCCTGTGATTTAGCATAGCATTACACATATACCAATTGGATTTTAAAAAAAAAAAGTAGTTTGATTTGGACAACGTGGAATGGCTTGTTAATAATGTACATATAAGAGACTGTGAAATGTTATCTTTTTGTTCTTTTGCATGTACAATGTCAGAAATAAATCATTTTCCCCAAATTTGTTGATTTCAGTTAACCGGTCACTGTACAGATTACACCTGTCTACATCGTGTTCTTTAGCCTGAAGTAAACTGTATTAAGAGAACTAGTTTGTGTGGTGTACGAAGTACAAAGACTTCCCAGTATAGTTTTATGCCAACTACTAATTGTTGTTCCTGGAAGATTTTAATAAGTTGTAAATACAAGACTGAGGTGCGAGATCATTCTAAATATGCAAACTAATGTACAATGATGCACATCTTTAGGGTCTAAGCATCCAGTGTCTGCACACAGAGAAACTGAATAGGAGCAGCTAATGAAGTTTAGCTTCAAAGCTAAATTTGCCAATTATAGCTTTCATTAATTCCTAGAGACAGAATGAACTTTGGCTCAAATACAGGACAATTGTCTTTATTAAGAAACCGCAAAGATTATTTACTAAAGATCTAGATTTACATTGCAGGACAAATCACTCATCTAGACCAAGTCAAAATTGTTTTTATTTTGTACAGGATGACATTTAACTTGGTAAAAACTGACAGGTGATGATGCCGTTTCTCCTTTGTGGTAGTGAACCACTTAAGAGTTGGCATTGGGTCCCTTCTTCTTTCCGAAGGTGGGAACGACATTCACAAAGCGCCTGTTGTACTGGATGCGGCGCTTAGCACGGCCAGTCTTCTTCTTCTTCTTCTCCTGCTTATCAACCTGAAGAAAAAGAAGTGGATTGGCATCATTGTAAAAGTGAAGTAAAAGCAGATGTAGTCTGTAGTATAGCTGAAGGCAGAGTCCCCCCAGAATTTTATTTGAAGAAGAAGAGGTGAGGTTACACTTACTTTGGGAGTCTGTCCCCGCACTTTTCCGGCACGGGCCAGAGAGCCGTGAACCTTACCTGGTAGAGTGAAAGAGAGAAACAAAGATCATGCTATTAAGGTGGTTTTGTTAAGACAAACTATATTAGTGCTATCCTCTGTGTGCCATGTTTTGAAGTCCCGAAGAAAACACACATTCAAATATGTGAATAACTACATGTCATGCCCATGCACACGTACCTCCCAGAAGTCTGCCAGCTACCTCCAGGGTGCAGTGCTCGGAGACACCGCAAGACACCAGAGAGGCATCATTCTCCAGAGGGCACCCAGCAAGCAGCAGCACCTGATCCTCAACCAGGAGACCTTCCAGAGCCTGGACATGAGCCTGGGACACAAACAGGTTTTCTCATAATAATCCTTTATTCAATATTGCCATTAATAAGGTACAATTTTTACACTTGTACAAGTTTTACCTTGATCTGGCCGACAGTCTCCTCTCCAGTCACCTCAAGGGTGTGAGTGTTCTGGCCACGTAAGAAAAGCTGCATCTTGATGCTGGAAAAAAAAAAAAAGGTAGGGCTAAGCATCTTTAGTCATGGATGAAACCTTTATTAGTTTTCATATAAAAGCATAACTGTAACGTCCAACTACCAACATAGCTATTTTATGTTTACTGGACTTGATTATATAACAAGGACTTTGACATCAATTACAATAACTGCTAATTAGGACATCTGATAAAACGCTGGCATCCCTTGAAAATGCTGTGTGCTTTACTTGATGTGACAAGTAAAAATGTCGACCGTGACGATCATTGCGGAAACATACTTGCGGCATTAAAATTTATTATAACAAATCCCGACTACCAAACCTTCACTTTTGCCTTCATACTTCAGAATATGAAACCCACATATGATCCTCAAAGTAAATATCTCCTGTGATAACCTGAAACTTATTAAAACTGTGGAGAAATAATGCACTACCAGCCGCCGGGAGCTGAACTGAAGCTTCTCCTGGGTCCTAGCAAAAGCTATGCTAGCTTAGCTAGCCACATGGGGCACGCGTATCGTAAAAGCCCAGTAAAAACATATAAAATACACCTTCACTCGTCAATAAAAAGCTTAACTTATGGTTACGGATGACATATGTGCACCAATCGCAAGATAAAACATGTAACGACAATGCCAAACTGGGAAATTTATATTAAAAGTACACAGCTCTCACCTCGTTTGATGCTAGTCGTTCAACGCTAGGCATAAAAAGGACTGTTTAAGGGACTACACAGCGCATGTGCGGATCTACGTAACGCTCGTCGGACGCGGTGGCCACGCCTCTTGTACTTTGGCGGTGTCGCAGATTCATCTGTTCAGTTATATTTACGGGTTCATGTCATCTTCATAGGTTGTATTTATCTATTTTCCTTGATGTTATGTTATGTTATGTTACTGATATTTGTATTTTATTTTATTAAATTTTGTTTGTTTATTCTCACGGTGTCCTGTTTGTTAAGGATTAAGTTTTGTTCTTGAAATTAACATTAACAAATATGGTTGTTTTTTTTTTAAGTTTTTAAAACTGTTTGACTCATTAATATACACAAAATTATTCACAAAATCCTGGTCCTTGTGGTTTATACCAATGTCTCACAACCAACATTAAATTATGTCTTATGTATTATATTTCATTTAATTCTTTTTTTCTCCTACACTTCAGTATTACTGACTGCACATGGAGAGGGTTATATACTCGTCATATTCTTGTGTTTATTTTTTACAAAAAATACCAAAAAGTTTGTTTGAATATGAGTGGATAATGGTCCTGGGGTGGCATGTCAGCATGCGACTCCCATGGCAATAACAATATTCTGTTACCTTCAGCAATGATTTCAGTGGTTTAAGTGTGGCTCATTTTCACATAAGGATCAAAACGATAGTTCATTTGTATAATTTGAGCCAACTGCTAAACAGTGATATACTTTTTGAGGAGAAGGTTTGGGGTTTTTTGTTTTTTTGCTGTGAAGCAGCACCAGTACAGAGCTCATGTGATGCTGAGATTAGAGCTTCATTTTTACAGAAACACAAAAGTGGCATGAGAACATCTCATTTATCTTTGAGCTCATATTTACCACAAACAATTCTTTATCCAACTACATTGTAACTGTTCTACGTGTTAATTTTATGTCATATATCTAGATGTAATGTGGATTTATCTGTGAGAAAATCTATTATGCTTACTTTGTATGTTCATATCAGTTAGAGCAAACCTCAAAACCCCTTAACTTTATTTTTGTCTTCTGACAGTTTTTGCCTGAAACACAACTGGAAAAAAAGTTTCATTTCAATCCTTCAAAAACTACTGGAGCTTCAGCTTGACTAGCAATGCTTTTTGCACATTATTGAGGTATGTTGTGGGGGAAAATGTTTTCATATAAAATGTACTATAATTATTGAATGAGTTGCCAATGAACAACAAAATGTAAATTAAGTTTTTGTTGTTTTTAAAGGCACAGCTTCAGTTACCGTGGCTCAGTGCAGCATCTAGAAATGCTTGTCAGGGATTTCAGCTTTTGTGGAAATCCATTATTCAAATATATTTAATATTTTAATTACATTCCTGCCAACAAGTTACATTTGCTATTGAATGTTGGAAAGGAAAAGTTGTTTTACTTTGAATGACAGTAAAAGTGTAAACTAAACAGCTAATGACGATATTCATTCTAGCCCTTTGTGACTTATTTAAAACAAAACAAAAAGCATTTAAGGATATCAATCTCTTTATTATGAAATCAAGTCAAAATAAAAAACAAGGAACTCTTTGTTGCTCTTTAGGGAAACATAACCATGAGTTATTACAAATCTTTGTGATTGGGGGGGGGAGAATGATGACAGATACATTAATGAAAGCTTCCCCTTACAAATTCTTTAACACAAAGACAGAGAGCAAACTAAGTCATCTGGCCTAGAAATTTCAAAAAGAAAAAGCCTTTGTCACACAGGGAAAAAATAAATCTGCCTTCACAAATAACATGCATTCAAGAACCCCAAAAGGAAGCCAGTGCTGGAGAGAATGACTGTAGCAATTAAAGAACTGATAACTGCTAAAGAGGGCCAAATATACTTCTATCAAGAGCTACAATATGTGGTAAAGTTGATTAGCACACTGTGAACCAGAGAAAAGGGGAAGAAATAAAACAAAAGAACAAAGCTTTTTGAAATCTCCATGACGTCTTGGTAAGAAGCCCCGTCCCAAGATGTAAGAAGGTCAAATGGATGGTCAGGCCACTATGTTGTCCATCATGTAGAAGGAGGGGGGTAGTACTGGTTATACTGGGCATACTGGTTGTATTGCCCCCAGGAGTTTTGTCCCCAACCACCGTACTGTTGCTAAAGAGAAAAAGTGGGGGGAGGGGGTTAGAAGGGCTGTAATTGACCACACATACTTCTTGTGACAAACTAATTTCTAAGTGCTGTAAATGTAACGGATCTGTAACCCACCTGGTACCAGTTATAGTTGTAGGCAGAGGCATTTGCCTGCATGTCGGTCATGTTTGCTACAGCACCAGAGCCGTCATCCACACGCTGCCTCTTAGCATCAGGTTCCTGAGAGCTGGAGCGGTAAAGTTTAAATTAGTAAGATCCAGCTTATAGCTGACAAATGAAACAGCAGTTACAGCCAAGTTTGGTGTTTTTATTGTTGTTCTAACTAATTTGTAGATTTTCAATATGTAGAATATGCATCTGCCCTTCACTGAGATATCAAGAAATACAAGACACTCTAGAAAATAGACTAGTAGTAGTAGTCGTCGCATGTGTCTTTCTAACACCTTGTTAGAAGGGGGTGTGAAAATTTTCTGAAAGTGTTTGTGTGGATGTGATGGACGCTGTGTTTCATTAACCACCTGTCATACCCGTTCTCGCCCTTCCTCTTTGTCGATTCATTTTCTTTTTGTAGTTTCTGTTGTTGTTCATAGGCAGCAACAAGGCTGAAAGATGTAAAAGAATAAACATGACTCTTTACAAAAAACAAACAAACAAAACAAAGAATGAATGTATTAATTTCTCCCTTTACCACTAAAAACAACTTACGCATTAATATCGCTGCCAAAGTCTTCAAGAAACTCGACTTTGCGCTGGGCAAAGAGGAGTCGTGATTCAAGAGGCATTGGGCTACTCAGGGCTCGGTCAAAACAAGCCAAGATCTCTGCCTCATT